GTTGGGATTGGTTTGACAAATGAAAATAACCATTGCTTTTTTTTTTCCATTTCTTATACTATGACTATTTCTTGTCTCCAGTGAAGAGAAGAAGAGGAAATTTTCATGGCTGCTCAATAGATTCTTGGAAATGGTTAAAAAGTGTTCTGGATTCTTTGATAAGAATCCAGGGAGAACCCAAATTTCCTTCTTAGATTGTTATACAATATGCCATTTTTTGTCTCTTTTAATAATCAAGTGAAAAGAAGAGGAAAGTTTCATGGCTGCTCAACAGATTCTTGGAAATGGTTAAATATTGTTCTGGATCTAATTATTTAAAAAAAGTTTCTATTGGGGCTTTACTTGAGATTTTTCTGCATAGATGAACATGGTGCCTTATCTTTTTGGTAAATGACTTGTTTTGATGAGGACTAGTTTCTATAGTTGTCTTAGAGAACTCATTATCCTCAGTAGATGGTCTTCAAGAGTCAGGCTGATCAGAAAGATCCCAGTCACAAAACCCACAAAACACAAGCACATAGTTCAATAGTCATAGAAGTAAATAAAATTTTCTCAGGTTCATTTTATTTTTTTTATTTTAGTCATGTTAATTGGCTCAATAAAATCATGTCTACTTTTGCAAACTAGCTCAAATATTTTAAGACATTTCTGTTCGAGGAATATTATAAATTGGAATTTTATTTGCAAGCATAATTTGCAAGATTTAGATATTGTCTTTTATGCTTGTGCCATCTTTATAATCTTTTGCTCAACAACATGATATTTGCTGGATTTATCCTTCTGTTTTCGTATATATTTGGACAGTATTGTGCCTTTTTCATATTATCTACTGTTTAAATAGTTTTTATAGTTGTAAAACCTTTTATTCCAATGATGTCTGGTTGTGTCTAAATAAATAATGTCATGTTCACCATCTGCTTTTACTTTGGCTAGGTATATTACATTTTTTGTAGATACCCACCTCTGTCTGCAGGATTGAGCAGTGTATTAAAAAAAAAATCAGTGATAACTTGCATTTGATTGTAATTACATTTTAATGGAATAAATAGTTATATAGATAGATAGCGTATTTGTCTAATTGCTTGATTTGGAGGTAAAAACAGATTCATTTTGCAAGAAGCTGTAAATTGTATTGTACAGTGTTTGCAGTGAGTCATGTTTCATTGTTTTGAATGATATATATTTGGAGAATCTTTTTTAATAGAATTGTTAAATGAATTTTTTTTCTTTTCTGTCCGAAAATTTAATCAGAATCAATCAAGATTATTGAAAAGTCAAATTCACATTGCTGTTTGGAAGAGTTGCTAAGCTTTGTAAGTTAATTTCGGTTTTGTCTTTGCTCAAGATGATTAATAGTCCTCTGGAATCTGAGGTGATAAAAACAAAAACACACAAAAAAAAAAAAACAGATTTTGTTTTGTTTAAATACTCATCAGCAGTGTTGTCTAGAAAGTGCTGCTCATAACTTTTTTCTTTCATTTATACTTTTACAAAAATACAGTAGAGAAATCGAAGGTTGAAATTGATATGTAAAGAATCAGAGAGACAAATTTACTTTTGTGTTTGGCAACTTTTGCAAATACCAATGTCAGTTTGTCTTTTCAATTTTCTTGATCTGATTGAAGATCCCAAAACATTTCCCAGAAATTTATCATTCAGAATCGCAAAATATGATTCATTACAATCTTTGTTACACTGAATGCAATAAAATCTGCTTTTTGTATAATAATGTCTGTTTTTAATTCCAAATCAAACACAAGAAAAATGTCTGTTCAAGTACTCTGTGTGTGTGTGTGTGTGTGTGTGTGTATGCGGGCGATAGAGAGGAGTGCTAGAAAGTTTTTAACCCTCTTAAAAGCTCCCATCCAGTTTATGTATATAAAAATATTTGAGGGGATGCTTGAAAGTTTTGGGCCTAACCCACTTTACAGAATCTGACTAAACCTTGGAATTTATTTTGGGGGGAGAAATCCTTTTTAGTTAGGCTGCAATCTTTTCAGCACTCCCTTGTGTGTCGGGGGGGGGGGGTTCGTTATACCCAAAAGTTTATTAAATTTGTGCATGAAAAAAAAAAAAAAAAAACATTCTAATGCCTAGTATGTCTTAATTTTTTTTGTTGCCAGTACTGATTAATATTCTGCTAACTTTTGGCTATATATATATATATAAAAATGTGTCAGTGTGTCACACATTTTCATCTTTTCTTCTAGAGGCCATATATATATATATATATAAAGTCTTTTAATTTAATATTAAAAGACTTTAAATAAAAAAAAAAAACCTTTGGTCATTCCTCTTAATAATAAAAAGATTTTGATAATAAAACTGTTTTTATTAAGGTTTGGGGACCTTTTAATCATGTTTGCTTATTTTTTAAAAAAAAACCCAAAAAACTGTTTAATCATTAAAAATCTTGTTTTGCTGGCATCAACATGGGACTATAAATTTGTATGTGGAATTTAGGCATCTTTGTGTGTTGAAAAACATTAATTTGGAAATTCTTGCAATAATAAATAGATAATTGTTGGATTTAATTAAAGTTTCAGAACTTTTAAAATTTAAAATTATTTTTTAAATGTTTCTCTTTTTTTCTTTTTTCATTTTTTTTTTGTGCCTCTATTACCCGCAATTATTTTTAATTTTATGAAATTTCAGGAAAATTCTTTGTGTAGCACTTGATGTTTATAATAATTATAATGACAAGTCTTCGGAGAATTTAAATCAATTCCTTTTGATCAAACAGTAACACAAGTTACAGAAAATCTGATCTAAATCATTTTTTTTTTTTTTTTTCTTCAATGAATAAATTTTTACAACAAATGTTTTAATTTTTTAAAAAATTTACTTAGAATATGTTATAAACTTTTAAACATTTTAAAATTTTATATGACCTCACTATGTAAATAGTAAGTTTTTAATTTTTGTTTTTACTTTTAAAACATGTTTGTTTCATTAGAAATCTCTAAGGTTTTCTAATGGTTTTTAGTGTTTGAAATCTTGTTACTGGTTATCTGGGTTCACAGTTAGCTGAAAGAAATCTACGTAAATCTCTCTTGTATTAAAATTATTAAAGATTTTTTTTTTAAGACAGTGATGAGAAATGCTTTTCAACTTGGTCAAAAATGCAAGAAATTCTAGGAAAACTAATTTTTTTTTTTTTTTTAAAGCCCTCCTCTGAAAATTTTAAAATATAGAAAAAGATTAACTTTGAAAATCTTGCCGTTACTTAGAAATAAATGAGGCAAAATCAAGATTAGCTAATGTTGATATATCACCAAGATATTTAGTAATTAAATATTAATTACAACAAACAAATTAACATTGTTTTTAATTCCTTGACTTTTCTTAATCTACATAATTCTGATAAATAATATTACATAATTTTCTTTTTTGTATAATAATGATAATTATTATTTAAAACATTGTTGATGGTGTTTCAGGCATGACTGTTAGTTTGACTAAAAGCACTGGCAATAATATTTTGAATGTGTAAATGGGTATATAAGGAAATGGATGAATTAGCAAAAAGAGAAAAAAAAATACAAAAGAAGGAAGCCATCACAAGTTTGGGTGATACAAGTGTATGTATGTGGGTGTGTGAAAGAGTTCAGTTACTAAGGAGAAAGATATTCCCCTGCCTGGGAAGGTCCCTGGTTGATGTTGCTACTCCAGCATTCTGGGAGAAAAAGCAAGAGAGGATGAAGACAGGAAGTGTCTTGGTTTTATAAGTGCTTATCAGAAACTGGTGTAGCTATGTGGGGATAATCCCACAATGGTAATGTTCATTTGCAGATGACAGTTTGATCAATTTTTTATGCTTCTTTTAGCAGACTTGAAATAAAGATTTCTTTATTCTTCCTTTTTTTTTTTAATTTTTTTTTTTTCAAAAAAATTGTTTAAAAAGCTTAAAATGATGCAATATTGTAAAATTGGGTGTGAGCTAAAAACAATCTTCCGAAACCTTGCAATTTGAAAAATGCTGTTAGTGTCCATATATAATATTCTTACAGATTTAAGTTTCTCTGGTAAATATTTAAATTTTAACAAAGTGATTATCAGTAGAAAGTGTCCTCCAAGAATTTATGTATTTTCCGTCATTAGTTTTGTTCACTTAATCAGGATCACAAAATGAAATTGTCTAATTAGATTTATAAGAAAATCACAAGAATCTTGAACTTGTCTTAATTGCTTAAATTGTCGAATCTGAGATTTGTCAGCATTTGTCTTAAATTCTCTTCATTTATAGTAAATCTTGGAGAAAGGGATGGCAAAATTTAAAAAATAAAATTATGTTTAAGGATAAAATTTTGACATATTATTTACTGAAAAAAAACCCCAAAAAAACATGATCCCTAAACTAAACTCCATAAAAATATAAGAAAAAGAAAGAAAATGTTTCTTGATCTTTGTGTCAATCATGGCTCTCCACAATTTCCTGCCTTTTGTTACTCTAAGTAACTTTGACCCTTTAATCCTCTTTCTCTATCCCTGTTCTGACATTTGTTCACATAAACTTGTAAAATAGGTTACTCATTGTTTATCTTTCCTTTCTATGTCCTGTGAGTGTTAAATTCTCTAAATCCTCTTTCCTCATAATGTCTTAGAAATTTTAAATGTCTCTTTCTCATTATAATTATATTTGTTGTTTCTATTAAAACTTCATGTTCAGAGTATTCTTAACATTTGTCAGTAGAACATGTCCCTTCAATTCTCTTCTTAATCTGTGAAGAAATTGTTCAGCATTTTCTCAGGTCTGTAAAGTTTGGCACAATGCCAAGAAAGTGAGGATTTAAATGAGTTAGCAATGAATTGCAAGATCAACCAATGAATTGTCTCTGTCAGGTGCTCTCTTTTAATTGCTATAGGTTTATACTGAGTTGAGGCTTGTCAGGCTCAAGGCTACAAAAACTTAGTATTGACCTCACAAGCAATGACTTGTGAGATGAAATTGGTATTCAAAAAAGAAAAATTACTAAAATTAGCACAAGTGCCCTATTTTAATGGTTTTTTTTCCCCCTCTTCTCATCCTCATTCCCTATCGCTGTTCTCCCACCCTCCCATGGAAACTTGTCATGGCATTGGTATTTAGCCTGCCTTTTGAAGTAATATCTTCTGCTTTAATAAAAGACTATCAATTCATTTGAGGAAAAAAAAAAAATCCTGTGGATTTTTAGTATTGCATGACAAGACTTTCTAAACAGACAAGCTTTTTGTTATAAACTGATTCTTCATTTATTTATTATTTTATTTTAGCTTTTACCCGACTGAAAGGAAGAAACAGTTTTGCTCTCTTTTTCTCTCTGGTGCCGGCTGGCTTCACTTGTACAAGAGGGTTAATGACAGGTTAATAGATCTTTTACATTCTTCTATGCTAGAATCTCCACCAAAAGATTTACAGGCAGCCAATGGCTCCAGGAATGTTGCACATTCTCATCACCTTTTAATTGTCAGCTAATATAAGTAGCTTCCTTTCACTTACCTGACATTCCAACCTTGCTTAGGGCTGGTTTTATACATCCTCTCAACCAATGCCCCACATCTTCTTCATCAGTGACTTTCTTTGGGCATACCTCTATTTGGTTTGCAGTTCTATAGCAGATTATTGGAATTAACCATTATTTACCTGGTGGATTATCTTAATCCTGTGCTTACAGCCACATGTTGAAACATTGTTTTCTGTATGATCACCAAAGCAATGTCAAGCCTGCTCAGTAACTAGATGGGTGACTGCTTGAGAATACAAGGTGCTGTAAGCTTGGATGTGTGGATGGTGCTATGGATAATGGCTTGGAATTGTTAATCGAAGAGCAGAGTTCTAATTCCAGTTGGTTTTGTTATATTCATTTAGACACAAATACCCTTAAGAAAAGGTATGATTCCATCTCTTCTCCTCCAGCTATGGGTTAATAAGTAAGACTTGTATCACTAAACCATTATTATTTAAAAAAAATCTTACAATGTAAAACTATTGTCTTGCTTAAAATCTCTTGCAAAGGGTTGATAGCCATAAAAATGAATTAACCAACCAAATTTTAATTCTAATCCCAGAATTCTTTTACAATTGTCATTTAATTTATTAAATATTAAACATCTAGCAGGCAGTATGATTCATCTAAAATGTGAATGCCAAAGTCATGATCCTCTCTATTGTGTGTGTGTGTGTGTGTGTGTCTGTTTTACTGGCTTTTGTTAAGGATGTTATATTGTTACTGTTCAGGAAGATTGTTATGGGACAGTGGTTCTTATTCAACTATTGGCCACATTGATAACACAGTGCAGGGAAATGTGGGTTCATGTGTCCCTTTTCAAGGAGATTAGTACTTTATGCATAGTGAACACAAACTTGGATGAAATTGAAACTCTGCTTCCTGATTTTATTGCTATAATTCTTGTGTGTACATGGCAAAAATTCAAACAAGTAATATTCTTTTAAATAATCAGGAATTTATTAATTAATGTTTGAATCTTAGTTTTTTTTTTAAATATATATTAGTGTGTACCCATAAAGCATCCCACATCTTAGTGAATTGGGGAGATACAGCCTGAGAGATGAATTTCCTGTAGCCAGATTATTTGTTTAAAACAATCCAGTTGTCCCCCAAAGAACATCCAGTTTCATGTAATGAAAATGAGATAGTTTTATCCCAGTTTGATGCTTTTTCTTATTTATTTCTACTGAATATGGCTACACACACACACACACACATTTCTTACCACCCATCTGAATACATTGCACCGACTTCCTACACACACAGTGATTAATGAATTCTTTATTTTTTCAATGCAACATATTTTAATACTTCCAATGAAAGTTATGGGGGATGCTGAGAGATGTAATTTTGACATACATTTTAAATGAAAGTGAATTTATGTATTTGTGGTCATTATTGTTATTTTTGAAAAAAAAATATATATATATATATATATATATATATGGGTGAGTAATCCAAGTGAATCCTAATAATATAAATATTAAAACTGATCCATAAAGAGAGCTCAATGTATTTATTACAGAGCATATATAGATAAATTACATATAGATGAAATTCAATACCCCATTTGTATGCCCATTTCTCCCCATAAGAGATTAGTCCCTGGAGGTTTGTCAACACCAAAGAGTTTGAAGATAAAATGAAAAGAAAGCTTAGAATTTTAAACAAAAAAAAAAAAAAAAAAAAAAAAAAAGAAGGGAAGGACAACAAAAGAGGGAAAAAAAATGTATTTAAAAAGGAGGAAAGAAAAAGAGAGAAAAAACAAAATGGAGAGGAGGATAAAAGAATTTGTCTAGATAGATAAGTACAGTTGGAAATCTGATACCAGTTAAAATAACCTTTACCTATATTTAAAATCTTGTTTCAGTAAGAAAATTCAATCTTTTAAAATTTAGAGAAGGTTTTAATGATTGTTTTTAAAATAATTTTAAAGAAAGGTAAACAAATTTGACATCTAACATAAAAATATTGTATAATAATAAGAAAATAAAAAATTTCTTCAATGAACTGACAAATATTAAGTAAATTTAAAAAGAAATATTAATATATAAAAAATGTAAATTGATACGTAAAATTTATACACTAAAAATAAATAAAGAAATCAAACTTAAGTAAAATATAAGTGAAATATAAATGAATTATTCAAATATAGATTAAAATAAAAGGACCATTTAAAGAAGGAAATATCAAAGTTAACTACTAACATAAAGGTAACTTAATAAAAAAGGAGATTTAATGATAAATATGAGTAAAATATATATAAAAAAAAATATATATATATATATATATATATATATATATATATATAAAAATAACAAACTATAAAAACTAAAATATTTTTTAAAAATATATGTATTAAAAAATATAAAAAATTTGAAAAATAAACCAATACATAGATTTATAGACAAAATCCAAAAGTTGTAATAATAATAGTAATAAAGGGATGATAATAATAATCAAACATTTAGGCCAGTAAATGTAATTAATACTGTTTAATTAAAGAACAGAGCATTTATAATTGTCAGACTTAATCCATTTAAGACAAAAGGAAAACTTATCTTAGCTGACACATTTAGTCCTTTGAGGGTCTTTATCAAAGGTCAAAAAATGTCGGCTAAGATAAATTTTTCTTTTTGTCCTTTTACAGATATACTCTATCTGAAATTTTTACACACATATTTTATTTATATATATATATATATATATATATATATATATATATATATATATATATATATATATATAAAAAAAAAGTGAACATAGAAGTCAACACTTAGAGGCGACAGTCTGTTTCATGCTATATGCAATCGTCAGGCCACATATATATATATATATATATATATATATAGTCCTTTTTTTTTTTATAAAAATGACAATAGAGACAAAAACATTAATTCACTTTCATTTGAAAGCATGTCAAAATTACATCACTTAGCGTCTTCCATAATTTTCATTTCAAATAATGTTGAGAGATTTTCAAATATATCTTAGAATATTCCCATATTTAAATTGGAATGCTTAATGATAGTTTTTTTCTCAATCACCTTTTTCTGTGGATATAAATATAGGTTTCTCAATAAACTTCAACATTTGTGTCAAAGTTCATCAAAGAATGAAGCTCATTGTAAAAATGTTTTTTTTGTTTTTTGTTTTTTTTTTGGAGGGGGTGTCATTTCTTTTATCATATATATAATTTTTTTCATAAGGGGAATTCAATTCTCACTTGGTTTTCCATGATTGTGGCCTTATGCCAGATTAGTGTGTGCTTTGTAAATATGCAGATACAATTATACATGAAAGGTGATTGACAGCAAATGCCTTTTCCTGTTGGCATTGATGGTTGTCTGATAAAGAGAAGCATTTTTATTTACAAATGGTCACCAGGTGATTAAGTGAATGGTGATTCCTGATTGAATGGTGGTTAAATTTTTAATCATGCAGAACAATCAGTGCCATTCTTGTTAGTATTTTGTTTTGGTACAACAAAAAAAACCTTTAAAAAAAAAAAAGTACCAGTAAAGCAGTACTTCTACCCCAGATTCAATTAACTTTTTCTCATTTTTCTTTTCTTTTCCTCTATCACCAGATTTATCTAACCGACCCTCAGAAAATATCTTTTTATTTCATTTAGAAAGACACTGCAACCATATTCTTTTTATCTTCTGATATTTTAGTTGAAGCTTTTCTGTTGAATTGTCACCTATTGTTCCTCTCTCTCTCATTCTCATTCTCTCTCTCTCTCCCGTTCTCTCTCTCTCTCCCGTTCTCTTACCTTTTTTTGTTCTCTTCCCTTTTATCTCATTGACATGTGTTTGTCCCACCCCTTCCTCAAATTATTCCTCTCAACCACAAAGGAGTTTATTCTGCTGCAGCACATTTCCAATCACACAAACCCAACCAGCCACCATGTTTGCCCTTTGGACACCTTCATTTTGATCATTGTTTTGGAAAGTGTGCTCTCTCACCTTCTTCATTAGTGTTTGAAGTTCAAAGATGAAATATTATTAGTTTTCCTTGAATTATTTGAAGTTTTATTCTCATCTTTGTGATATTTTTTGATTTTTTTTTTTTTTTTTATCACTGCTTCTTCCAATAATCTCTAAGGAGCATTGAATAAATGTTCTTCACTTTTAAGAGTTGCTTCTTTGTCACAATGATGTATACATATTAGCAAAAATGAGTTGCCTGTTATTTAATTTAAACTGGCAAAACTGGACAAAAAATTGTTTTACAATCAGTTTAACAAATGTTCCCAACCATGTAGGCTATTCTTCTTGTAGATTTTTATTTTTATTTGTGTTTGAATTTGGGAAAAAAAAAGTCAAAAACACCTTAAAAATAATAATGGGACAATGACTGAAGCCTTATTTTTCTTCATCATTTCCACTTGTGCTTCTGGATTTCAGATTTGGTTTAAACAAACTTGGCAACATCTTGCAACTAAATTTTAACAGCAGTTAAAAAGCAAAGTATTTGTTTTTTTCGTAAAATATTTTGACACATTGGCAGTTTTGCATGAAATCGGTTTGGATAAAATGAAAACAAGAGATTTTTTTTTTTAGCTTACCCACTTAGGAAGAGAGTCATCCATCTTAAGCCTGATCTTTGCTGCCCCCACCCTTTGTGTGTGTGTGTAATATATATATATATATATATGTGTGTGTGTGTGTGTGTGCATATGTATGTATGTCTGTGGGGGAGGTTAATAAATGCTTCTGATAACTTACCATATTTTCTTGTATATATCTGTATTAACCTTTTTATCTACTCTTGCACAATGCATGGGTACACACATGTATATATAAGGGTAGAGATATATATTCCATCTTAGTCTTGCCTGAGGGAATTTTCATACTATAGTGGCTGACTGCCTGATAATTGCATAAAAGCATGAAACTCATAGTTGTGGTCAGACACTGTATGCCTGAAACATTATATATATATATATATATATATATACACACACACACACACACACACACACACATAATGGTATACATAGGCAGTAAATATTCCTCCAAACAATTAAGGTAAGATCTGTCTGTTCAATTTTTTTTATTGTATTTTTCCAATTTTCAAGTAAAATGTTGTTTATTGGGATTAAAATAGGGGATTAACTGTCTAAAGTTCATATTTGTTCTGTTGTTTTTACACTTTCAGCTATCTCAGTCTTTATCAAGAACCATGTGCTGACTGTGTTAGGCAAAATCTTTTTGGCTACTTTTAGAGGGAGCCAGACCATACCAAAAATAATGCATCAATATTATGTTCTTTTTTACCTCTATTGCCTGATGAAACCTTATCAGTGGAAACCATCGTAGCATAAGTTGTTAGTATTTCTTCATTTTAATATTTAACAGCTCTACACTGTGTTTTTTTTTTTTTTTTTTTTTTTTTTTTTTCATCATATATTGAGTACTTTTTTTTTTATATAATCCCTTTTTCTGGACAAGTCTGATTTTTACCAGGATACGCACACACATACACATTAGGTTGGATCCCTTTTGCTATTAGAATCTTCTTATTTCTTTTTGGCATGGATGGTATTTTGGAAGCATTTTTGAAATATGGATCCATACCTAATGTAGGCAGCAGTATTTAAATGATATTTTATTGGTACCAATGTATGCTAAGAAAATATTTCCCATATACCAAACCACCACTAGCTGAAGGCATTGATATCAGGCAGGATAGATTTTTACTTTCATGTTTACACCTACAATTCGAATGGTGCAGGAAAAACCAAACATTGTTTTTTAAATCGTCTATTGTTCAATTTTTGTGATCCTTAGCCAAATTGTAGCCTCAGTTTCTTGTTCTTATATGACAAGAGTGGCACCCAGTGTGGTCTTCTGCCACTGTAACCCATTTGCTTCATGGTTTGATGTTGTGCATTCAGATATGTTCTTCTGCATATCTCTGTCATAGAAAGTGGTTATTAGAGCCACTGTTGCCTTTCTATCTGCTTCAATAAATCTCTGACCATTCTACTCCAATCTCTTTCATCAACAAGGAATTTTCATCTACAGAATTACCACTCACTCTTACTTTTTCTGGTAATTCTCTGTAAACTCTGGAGGGTTTTTTTTGAAATGCTCATGTTTGCCTGTCTGGTACCACAACCATGCTGCATTCAAAGTCAATTAAATTAGTTTTCTTTTTCATACTGATACTGGAAATGAAATTCAGCAGGTCAGTGTGTCAATAGCTCTTAAATTTCTATTTCACTTGCTCATTAGAAATTTATATAAAAGAACATTTGTTCACATGTACTCAAGTGGCCAGTGTGTATATATATATATATATATATATATATATATATATATATATATCCTACACAGGTGTTTTGTTTTTCTGTTATTGCACACTGGATTTACCAGAATTTTGTCTTGCTCAATTTCTGATGGTAAGAAAAAAAAATTAGTCAAGCACTGAATTTTAAAATGCTTTTAATATTTTAGTTTCAGTTGTGCATAGAAAATCAGAGAAAAAAAAAGGAATTGACAGAATATGACTATTGTTAATACATTATGAAGATGATGTGTTACTGACAGGATAATGCTATTATCATTTAAATGCATTGTCAAGCAAAGTATTATTAATGGTCAGGAATTAAAGAAAGCAATTAGTTACTCAGCAGATACATATGTTTTATGAAGGCAGGCATAATTGGAGCCCTGTGTGTGTATTTCCCTCTTCTCCCCATGCTGAATGCCATTGTAAAAATGACTACAAAGTAGGCTATGATCGGTATTTAAAATGAAAAACAAGCAAGCTAGAATATTTTACTCTGTCTTCTGAGGAAATTTTAACTTGAAAGCGATAATAAATTTTTTTTTCTCTCCCTCCACTCCATACCCCCTCCCCCCTCAGCTCCCTCGCCCTCTCATCTCATAATTTTGCCTAGTGGTTTATTTACATCTCTTTCATTTTTACTTTTACATTTTATTTTTCTCTTTTTCATGGCTCTTTGTTTTCTTTACTTTTTCTTTTTTCTCACCCTTTTTTATTTTTTCCCCCCATATCCCTGCTCTTCTCCCTCCCTCCCAATACTTTCCCCTTTGTCAATACAAAAGGAAATCATGATTGCTTTATGACCCAAATAGACATTAGTGAAAAAAGAAAAAGAATTCCTAATCACATTTGCCATTCCACAAAATAGAAAGGCTTGAAATTATTTCACAGCAAAAATAAAGATTTCTACCAAACTGGAAAAATTCCAAATATTCTGATATGCCTCCTTTGTAGACCCCTAAATTCCATTAATCTACCAATATTTCTTAATTTAGCAGTGCAAGATCTAACTTTAAAAAGTATTGACATCAGTCATTGTTGTATGAAGGAATGAAATCAGTATTTTTTTTTTAAAATGTTGTCCTTTGATTGAGGGGAACCAAGAAAATGTTGGCCTTTAGCCAAACATGGATTTGGCAGAGATTCCTTTTAACTCAGATCTGAAGTTGGTTGGAAGAATTTGTCAGTACACATTTTGAGTTTTTCTGCATTTGAAAAAAAATATGTGTCATGGAAACATAAATCCTTTACACTTTCTGGTTCATCTCTCACTGAAAAAGATCTTTAATTTTAATAATAATAATAATAAAAATAGTAACAACCATCTTTTCCACAACTTGATGGCACCCAATCTATTTCTTTTCAGAATTCAAAGAGTTCAGAAATTACACTTTAATATGAGAAAAATAACAAATGTTGGCTGAACATCCTTGATTTTATTTCGATCACTACATTTCAGTCTCTCCAGCCTTGTTAACGGCTCATCAAGCAAGTTTTTTTTGTTTTTTTGTTTTTTTTTTTTATATATACTGATATTTAATCACTATCATTTAGTACAGCATAAAGCCAGATTGATGGAGAAAATGTATTGTCAATTTTCAATGGGAGTAAGTTTGCATCATGAAATTAAGATTTAAAATCTAGCTTTTCATCAAGATTTGAACTCAACTACGACACACAGAAACTACCAAGCATTTGCAAACATGACATTTAATTCTATTCATTGTGTATGGTTATAAATTCACTCAATAAATCAAGTTGTGCAAAACAAGATAGACATAAAACTGGATGTGGCTCCATGGGTCAAACATAAAACTTGATGTTATAAGATTCGCGTGACTTTGAACCTTTTTAAGATTGATTATATCAGGTTGAGCTGCCTTAAGCAATTTCTCATGCAAGCCATCTTACACCTTTTCTTTTCTCCAGCAATCATCCTCACTTCATTGATGTTCAGTAAAGGGGGGGGGGGTAATCTTATTACTTTTCAGAGAAAGAGGGAGATGTTATTGAGCAAAACAAATAAATGTTGTCCTTGTGTTTCCAAAAACCTTGACATATTTCTCTCAAGATTATTTCTTTTACTCTAAAACTGGTTTTATAAACTGAAATTTGTAATTTTTCACTTTTTTTTTTTTTTTTTAAATATTCTTAAGGCAAAATTTAAACTATTGTCAAAGAGATGTCAGGTTAACAGGTGCATTTTTTTCATATCTATTTACAAACAGCTGACTATATTCTGTAATATCAATTTTTCAGTCAAATTTTCTAAAAAGCTGTTTAATTCTCTTGTACTAGTTCCAAAATTGGCAGTACAGGATGATTGGTTCTTGTCAAGGTTGACTGGGTGTAACAGCTTCATACAATAAGGTAATTTTCTCAATTGCACACTTACTCTTTTCTCTGTTAACCATTGAGACCATCCAGTGACAAGATAATTTTGTGAAAATATCGAGCAGTGTGACAGCAAAAGTAGAAATGGATTCATGCCTTTTGTCTTGCACGGTGCTAACCTACCTATTCATATTGATAATTGTGAGAGCATCTTCCACAAGTAGATATTTACTCAACTTATTTGTGTAGGTGGGGGTGGGATATCCCTTACCAGGGTGGGTAACATTTTAGTTTGACAGATTATAACCACTTCCTCCAACACAAAGAAGAATGGATTAGCGAAAAATCCTGATAAAATTGAATGAAGAATAAATTTTTAAAGAATTGTTTTCACTTTTAAAAAATTTTAATTAGAATAATTTATAAAGTTTTAACTCTTAAAATTCTGTATTACTTTGTAGCAGTTAGGTGATAGTAAGTTAAAAAAAAAAAAAAAAAACTATATTTACTAATCATAAATGGAAAAGCTTACTACAATTCAGCCACCTCCAGTATTTTAAAAAGAATTTTTTTTTTTCTGTATATAAATGTTGATTTTTTTCTGTATATAAATGTTGATTTTTTTTTTTTTTTTTTTTTTGCATATATAGAAGTCCATACACAACATTATCAGAAAATGAAAGCTGTAACTATAATAAATTTAAAATTTATTCATAATTTTTTAACATTTCCTAAACAAGTATCTTCATAAGTATAAAGTAAGATTATGAAGTCAAAGTACCTAAAATTCAATAAAATATTTGATTACTTACAATATTTTCTAAAATTTTTGAGATTACTGGGTAGTTAAAAACTGTATAAAAAAAGGTGTTCATGTTGTATTTGTCATGCAATTTTACTCCAAATATTTCACCCTTACCTAAAACTTGCAATTGTCAGTTCATAGTGTCAACATCTCATAAAAACACCCACCCCCTGTTTTTTAAAAAAAAAAAAAAAAAAAATTTGTTTTTTGTAATATTTTAAACTGAAAGTAATTTGTTTTAATTCTGATTAATTTAACTTGCAGTCAGTTAGTTTCAGAAAAATGTTTTATTTTTGAAAGATTATTTAAAAATAAAAAGAATTGTTGTGTTGATAGACTTGTAAATATGGCCAATTTTAGTAATTAAAAAATAATTCCAATCAATTTAAATTCAGTTTGAAATACAGCAAAGTATTTTGCTTATTCAAAATATTAAATTTAATTTATTAGCTTAAAATTAAAACTAAAATAAAAGCTTCAAGGAAGATTTTAAATTTTTTTTTTTTTTTTTTTTTTTTTTTTATAAAGATGCATTTTAAACTTTGGGTGTTTTTTTTTTTTTTTTTTTTTATGTACATAGATAATTATAACTGACAAAATTATATCAATTTATTCAATTTGATTTTCTAAACTAAAAGCATTTCATTGAGATTTCAGGCATTGACTTACGCACCAAACCATTACAATCAGCCTGCTTCTGTTTTCTCTCTTTCACACACATGTAAGCATCCCTGTCAAGAGGTGGAAAGAGAAGGGAGTGCTTTTGAAAGTGAAATACAAAATGTTCAGCATCAGCTATAAAAAGGGTCAGTTTTCACAGCTGTCTGCAATGGATATTATTGGGTTCTAAAAGTGACCCTTTGACATGTATTTGTCTACTGTTTCGTGGATTAGTTCAGGGGGTTGATGTTCAAACGCTGATAAAAGACACACTTTCCAGTACTGCTTTTTGAAGGAGATCTATTCTTTCTCACATGGAAAAATTGGCACCATATAAACTTTCAACCCCACTTGGCCTGTCATAAGCTAAGTTAAGTCTATATGCCTGCCCAACTAGGGAGACTAGTGCTATACAATGTTCTTACTCTATGCTGTAGACAATGTCACATTAGCATGACCATAAATTATATTAAATCCATGATTTCTAATGGTGGTGGTGGGGGGGCACCACCATCACAAAAAAAAAAAAATCAAAACAAAAGTACAAGATTCAGTTCTTGAGTAAAAAAAAAAAAAAAAAAAAATGAACCTCAATGTCAAAGGACATAGCAGCTCTCTTGTTCACTTACACACACCACTTCTCTCAAAAGTATTTGAAAACAAAATTGGATCCAAATTTAAAATAAAAATTAATTTAAAAGTAAGGATCTGTTTGGCTGAAAGCACCCATGATACCTGTTTACTTGCTGTGTGAAGGTTGATAAATTCAGTTATTTCAACTATTTAGTTGCTGTCTGATTTGTGGCATTGCAATATTTTATTTTTTCACAGACCATACTCAAAATGTCAAAGAAAAGAAATAGGAATGATAACTATTTTTTGGGGGTTCACTTGTACAACTGAACTGAAAGACCTCAGTGATATTTTCAAATGCAAACTGAAGTTTTCTAAACTCAATAAACACCTTAAAAGAATACAAGGTGGTACACTGGCTGTAAATGACAAAAAAAAAAAAACATGCAAGGCAAACAAGACATTTTGATCGCCAAAGAACTCTATGAAAGTTTGCATTTACATCACAAATCCTCTACTTGAAGCATCCTATAAAGCATCCTATAAAGCATCCTATAAAGCATCCTATCAAGTTCAAAAAAGAAAAAATGCATACAATTATGGAAGAGTTAGTAAAGTCTTGTGCTCTGGAAGTTGTCAAGATCATTCTGGAGAAAGATGCAAAAAAGATGCTGGAACAAGTTCCAATGTCTAAGGAATTGTTGATATGAGCCACAATATTTTGGAGCGAGTGATATCAAGGTGAGTCCCATAAAAATATCTGTGCAATTGGATGAATCCAGACATTGCTCATTGTAACCAACTAATTACATTCCCTGAACCATCAATTATTTCAAGCATTTTGTGATAATATTGGCACCTGATTCCATAAAGAGTTATGGTGGATATCCTGTGGACATGTCTTGCAATATGCATTTGATCTTAATGTTGAATTAAAGGCTTTTTTAGAAGATCTCTTCTGCGTTTGAATCTTGCAAATTTCTAGAAATGTTAGCTTTCTTGACATTTTTTTATTTACTTAAATGAACTTAATATTTCCTTTCAAGGAATTAATACAAACATTGTTATTGCACATGAAAAGTTGACTGCTTTCAAAACAAAAAAAAATACCACTGTGGATGAATGATATTAAGAAACGAAAATTGGCCTGGTTTCTATTCATGGAGGAATTTGATGGAATAGATCAGTCTCTGCTCAGAGATGTTTCTACTACAATACAAGCTTATCTTCAGCAATTGTTAAATGCTTTTGATGGGTATTTTTCTCTTCAAGAAATTTGGAACCCAGCGACTGTTGAGTAAAAGACCCTCTTTCTATTTCAACTACATGCCGTGTCTGATGATGATCCTTTCAAAAAGGAGATTATTGATATCCAGCAAGATGATGCCACAAAAATG